GTTTCAGGGGTATCGGGAATTCCAGGGTGGATGCTGTTTCAGGGGTATCAGGAATTCGGGTGTGGATGGCTGTCTCCAGGGTTTGTGTGTGAAGGAACAGATACTGCAGTGTGACAGCAGGCCTCTTGGGGGCAGTCGGGCGCTCCATGCTACTAGATTGTGGACCTGTCACGTGCTCAGTCTTCTAAGACACACCCCCCATGTGTCCCCACCCACACACTATTTACAGAGAGCCTGGGCCCTTGTTATAATAGCCCAGCAAGTGCTGTTCATAAGAAATTGCCCAGAAAATTATGGCCCAAACTATGGAATGCTAAGCTCTTAATTTTTTAAAAATGCAGATTTACCCCTAGTAGTATAATATATAAATAAATGCACAGAATACAGGACAGAACTTTCCTTAAGCCTCTGCAGGTGTGTTTAGATACATATGTCCTTTCATCAGGGGCTGTAGAAGGATGCACTTTGTGGTAGCCATTTGGTAAGAACGTAACTGAAAATGTATTTTAAAATAATTATAGACACAAATTTCTGAGAATTTCACGGTAGCCAGGATGAATTGGCATGGCCAAGCTCATTCTGGCGTCTGTTCATGACAAGCTCAGATTGGCGTCACCGGGATGGGTGCTGCTCCTGGTGGGTGCTGGGTGCTCTGTCCCAGGGGAGGGCACATGTGGATGGTACCATCCTATGTTTGGATCCTACCAGAACTGAAGCCTCTTACTTGGGAAATGTAAAGATGCTCTTGTCCTCATGGAGCTTCTGGGGTCCACCCTGCTTTCCCCCCGTCCTGAGGGCTTTTCCTGTTACCCACTGCTGTTGAAACATTTCTGACCCCTGGTGACCCTGTAGGACAGAGTAGAACTGCCTTAAAGGGTTTCCAAGACCGTATGTTTTACAAAAGTCAGACAACCTCGTCTTTCTCCCTTGGTGAGTTTGAACTGCTGACTTTTCAGTTAGCAGCCAGTGCTTAACTCTTGTACCACCAGGGCTCCTTTTTTCTTATTCCCTCCCGCAAATCTCGCGTCTGCCTTTGCGTTCCATATCACCCCGAAATGGGGAGAGCCAGTTCTCTGACTGCCAGCCACTGCCCAAGTTTAGCTTGTAACAAGAATGTCCATGTGCCTCTTGACCCACAGAAAACTTGGAGTACAACGTGGAGCCTCAAGAAATCTCACACCCTGATGTCGGACGCTATTTCTCAGAGTTCACCGGTACCCACTACATCCCCAACGCGGAGCTAGAGATCCGCTATCCGGAGGACCTGGAGTTTGTCTATGAGACGGTGCAGAACATTTACAGTGCCAAGAAGGAGAGCCTCGAGTGAGCCTGGCAGTGGGCCTGGCCCCTTTGCTGCTGCTGCTGCTGCTACTATCTTCCCAGAGAACAGGATTCCGGAAGAAGGTGGCACCCCGGATTCCTCTGGGGTCCCTCCGCCAGGACAGCCACCGCAGTAGTTCTGGCCGCCTCCCTCCAGGTCTGAGAACATGCGCTCTCTCAGCTGCAAGGACAGTGTTGCTCCCGCCTACACTAGTGAACGGACTCGGAAGGCACTGTGGACCATGGCGTGGCTTGTCCTGTGGTGACAGTTTGTGACATTCTGTCTTCATGAGGCCCCACCGTCGACACTCTGAGGTCTTTTTTTTTCTCCTCCCCCCATCACTTTCAACACTTCTTCACTCCCATCACTCCTTCAACCCCATCACTTTTTTACACTACTTTTAGACCCTTTCCTGCAATGGAAAATTGGGGTGTACACTTGCAGTATTGTTTCCTGATTTCTCCCTGAAGCACTGGTACCCGTGACAGGCTGAGCTGTTTGTTTTGACCTTGAACCTGGCTGTGGGCTCCTGGTTAAAGTTGCAGCCCTGCCAGTCTTGGAGATGAGCAGGCTTACCTGTGACGAGAATCTCTTTTTTCTGTTGGTTTGTTGTTTTGTTTTTTTTTTTTTGTTCTTTTTCATGTCCGAAACATCAAATTTGGTATCTTCTTTATCTTTCTTTGAATTGTGAGGATCATTTTTTCTTTCCACTTCCCTCTTTTGGGTATCCACGAGTATCGTATTGATTTTTTTTTTCTAATTTATGGCGTAGCACTCTTGAGAAAACACAGAATAATGGCTCTCGTGAATAGTATCCACTTTCATTCCGTATTAATCCCTTAAAACGATCACTTCCCCCTTCGGCCACCCCCAGGCGATCATGAGTACTTCTTCAGTCGGTAATTGGTTCTGTTCATGGGGAAAGTCCACATCTTGATGTTCAGAGTCTTGGAAATCAAACTCTCTGGTTTCTAAAGACCAAATTCTGAGGTTTCGCTTTTCTAAATTCAAAAAGAGGAAATAACGAACCTTGAAAAATTTTTCCCCAAAAACAAGTAATGTCCCCTGCCGTTCCTTCAAGATCTTTTTGAGTCTGATGGGGCAGAAATCAGTCAGTCTTTCACTTTGAGTGTTTTGTTGATGAGAAAGGAGACAGTGTCATGCACCCCTGCATCACCGCTAGGTCAGAGATCCTCGCGAATCCCCACGAGAGGGTCTGGCTTTGTGTTCAGCGGCCGTCGGCTGCTTTCCAACGTCCTTAGTACCCAGATGTGAAGGTACCCAGTCTGTGCAGCTCTGGGACGCCTGCCACTCGCCCCACCAGACCCCAGGCGAGCTCATGTTGTAATTAAGCAGTAGCCACGAACCCCTGGAGCTAGGACCTAGTTACTCTGTCTGCACTCTTAAGTTTCTAGTGAATGAGGTCGAGGGGCTGCGCCCCCTGCCTGTGTCCATTTGCATGCAGTATTTTCACAACACGGTCCATGACTGCTTCTTGTTTACACTTTGGAAACCCTGGCATGACCAAGGTCAGAGAAAAGCACCAGAGACCTCTGACTCGCAGGAGATGGGGGATTCGGCCAGCCACCCCTTCCAGCCCGAATCCACGCTTGTCCAGTGTCCCATCTTCCTTACGCATCAAAGCCAAAGGCCACGCCTTTGGACTAGGATTGGACAAAGTGACCACTCACCACCCCCAGGCTTGTCTGCAGTTGGGCAATGCAGATCTTAACACTACTCTCACGGTCAGGTGGAAATGAACTAACGCGGAGTTCATGTCGACGAGATGCATTGCTGAGGGACTGTGGAGCAGGCTGAGCGTTCAGAACTGGTGGTTTTCTGGTTCAATTTCCTTTTCTTCATAGAGTTAACATCACAACTGAGAAAAAGGTAGTTTTCCTTTACTGACTCCATTGTAAATATGTATCTAGATGGTTTTTAAATGTGTTTCTCCATGAATGCTTCACTGGGCTCCAGGAAGCCTCTATCACCTGTCTAAGTTGGTATGTGGGCACTTTATATTTTTCTAAAATGTGTTTTGGATCCTGTAATCTAATAAATCATAAGGTTCTTTTTAAATCTTTTCCAAAAAGTCTTCTCCACTTTAAATAAAGAGACAGTAGTCACCCTGTGATCAAAAGCAAGTTTTCACAATATTAAAATAGTCTCTATTGGGATATATTCACTTCTCTCCAGAGGAATACTAGGATTTTTTTTCTTTTTTTACAATGATTAATAGATGAAACTAACCAAGAGAAAAATCACTTGAATGCCTGCCACGTTGCCCTTTGGAATGAAGCAGGCAGTCTCTTAACTTTGTTCTGATTGGAGCTTGCAAACATTTGTTCCTACTGCATTTTCTGTGACATTGCTCTGTGTGTGTGTGTGTGTGTGAGTGAAAGTATGTGTGTGTGTAAGCGCATGCACGTGATGAAAATGTGTTGGGAGACTAGTTTTTCATTGGTTCTTAGTATCAGTTTTATGTCCTCCCCACAGCACCACCACAATGTCCTGAGCTGGACAGAAAAAACTAGAGAATAAAGATGGTCACACAGGTGAGCAATGTTATGCTAAAGCCAGTGAAGCCATATCTTGTGCAGAAATGTTCCTCAAAAGCTTCCATGTGTTAACTGTACCCTGTGACTTTCTGCGAGTTAATGGGCTCTGTTTTCCTGACTTCTGGACTCTAAAACTCCTCCCCTCTTGCACACCCACTCCACTGGAAGGCCACTGCTTTCATTTACACTGCATGAGACATTGTTTCTGTCCAGAGCAGTGCTCTCATTGCCATTGCATGCAGTCCGCTGACCCGCCATTGGGTTTCTGAGTTTGTAAATTGCACAAGAGGAGCCTTGGGTGGGTTCCACCTGCCAGCGAGGCCTTTGGGTCAGCAGGACAACCCCCACCTTACTACTTCAGAGCTCCCTTGTCCAGAACTAGAAACTTAGACTCATTTGCCAGGAGTCACAGCTGAGAACACTGTCCATCCAACCAGATTTGGACAGACTGGTGTACATTCTGCCACCTGAGCATTGTAGTAGGTCTCCATTGTTAAGTGCAGTTCAAGGCCTTACCTAGTCTATTTGAGAATCGGCAGTAAAGGCTGTTGCTGAGTGGGTCACAGTTGCTGATTTTCTGAAGATCTTGTCATTGTAGTTCGGTCTGATATATTTCATGGCATTGGGCAGCCGTGTTTCCGAGTGTTCTGTCATCTCAGGTCTTGTGTCTTCATCTGTATGAAGAGACATGGCATGCTCAATATATACAATACAACTAGACAAAATGCAGGATTCTAGCTCTGTGACAGTTGCTTTTTGGAGACAGAAGTGGTGTAATATGTATTGAGTGCGTGCTTTAAGCCAGACACTGGCTTAAATGGTTGACAGTACAGCAGATGTTTCAGGCAGGGCAGGCTACACGCTGAAGAATTTCCTGACCTCCAATACAGTCTTTCACATGATTGTTTTGTTTTCAAAATTTGAAAAATAGTCTTACCAATGTAAAGCCTGTACCAAAACAGGCCAGTTTTGGCCTGTGCTAATAAAGTATATTTCTGTGTGTATCATCTCATGTATGCAGAGCAGATTATCTGAGAGGCTGGGCTCTATGAGGAGAATTGTGGCATCAGGATTGGTGGAAGATCTATTAACAATCTGCGTTATGCAGATGACACAACCCTGTTTGCTGAAATTGAGGAGGACCTCATGCACTTGCTGCGAAGGGTCAAGGACTGCAGCCTTCAGTATGGACTGAGGCTCAATGTCAAGAAGACAAAGATTCTCACCGCTGGACCAATTGGCAGCATCAGGATGGATGGCGAAGAGATTGAGATTGTTCACAGCTTCAGTTTGCTCGGCTCCACAGTCAACACTCTTGGCACCAGCAGTCAGGAAATCAAAAAGCGTATCACGATGGGAAAGTCTGCTGTTAGGGACCTCTCTAAAGTACTCAGGAGCAACGGTGTCTCTCTGGAGACTAAGGTGTGCCTGATACAGGCCATGGTCTTTGCAATCTCCTGTTATGCATCAGAGAGTTGGACAATGACTAGGGAGGACAGAAGGAGAGTGGATGTTTTTGAGCTGTGGTGCTGGAGAAGAGTACTGAATGTACCATGGACTGCCAGGAAAACAAACAGACTGATCTTGGAGAGGATTAAACCAAGCTACTCCTTGGAGGCAAGGATTCTGGGGCTTCGTCTGACATACTTTGGACATGTTGCCAGGAGGAACGGGTCCTTGGAGAGGGACATCATGCTTGGGAGGGTGGAGGGACAGTGCAGGAGGGGAAGACCCTCTGAGATGGATTGATTCGGTGACTGGGGTAATCGGGATGGGTGTGTCAGAGGCGGTGCGGTTGGCACAGGATAGAGCAGGGTTTAGGGCTGTTGTGCATAGGGTCGCTATGAGTCGCAAACGACTCGACGGCACATAACAACAACATCATCATCCCATTGTACAGATGGGGAAAACAAGGCCTTACTACTTCTCAGTGGGGCAACAGGATTTGAACCCAGGTAGGCAGAGCACTGGGCCCCAGCCTTCAGCAGTGACAACATGGACCAGCGGTGAGCTCTGAGTTCACTTTCAAGTGGCTATGTGACTTCAGTTTGAAAGCCGAAAGTGTGGGAGTGAAGGGCATTCTTCAGTGAATGAAATTGTAATTCTAGAATGTATTTGGATTTCTTAGCTTCGTGCTGGTTCTGTAATAGACGGACCCAGAAACGCAGCTCAGATGGCACCTTGAGAACATGGGGAGAAGAGTGGATTAGTGAGGCAGCTTTCTGCCATCATTGCGGGACTCCAGGTCACTCAGATTCTAGTGTTTTCCCGTGTGACTTCCTGGAGAAACCCAGGGACACATACCATCCCCCCACCCCCAGTGTCCACAAAGAAGGCATGGCTGGGAGAGTCTTGCGGCCAAATCTGAAGCTGTACTGATTGCACAGGGGAACCTGGGAAATGTAGTCCTATTCCCGTGAAGAGGGGGACAGTAAGTTTCATATCTACAGTGTGATGTGCTCCCCACACCTGGAAACCAGACAGCAGTAGTAAGGCCTTTATGGTGACAGCCTGATCGTAGAGATACAACCCCTTAACAGGGAAGGCTCGCTAGGCCACAGGACAGTGTACCTGGAGCAGAGCTCTGCACGTGTCTCTGCCATCATCCATTCAGTCTCGAGGCTGCATGGCAGTGGATCAAGTCATGTGCCCACCTCCCAGCCACAGAGGCGGCTACCAGCTGGCCCAGGATGAGGTGAGCACTGCCCTCGCTGTGCCTCACACCACAGTCCTGGAGCTGAGTGCCCTAGGCTGTGTGTCCTCCAGGTTT